GACAGAGATACCTCCCACTGGACCAGGTTGCTCAAAGCCCCATCAACCTGTTAGTTGTCAAATTCATGCTGATAAACACAAAGCATAATATAGAAATAATCCACAGGGGAAAAAACACATACAAGTCTCAGCATGCTTCATTTCTTTGCATGCTGTTGCTTATACCAATAACCTGCAATATTTTGCCTGCCCAGTTTTTGGTTAGGGAATATGCTATTAGGATTATTGCTACCTGGATTAGTCAAGCTTTAATTATTTTTATTTTTTAATGAAGAGTGAACAGGCATCTGAATAGTGTCTGTTTATTTTTTTTTAACTGCTACTGTCAAGTGATTGTTACTTTAGTAAATGTGTTACTGTCCAGGAATGCTCAGAGTAAAATCACTGTGTTAAATAATTAGGTGAATTGCAGATGTGTTGCAAGAACAGAATGCAGACACATTCTGACTTCACACACAAGTTTTTAGATGGAAAAACTGAGGTAAGAAAGGGTATTTCACTGATTTCATTTAAAGATGAGTGCATATGTTTGCCTCCAACTGCCTGTCATGTACCAGAACGGGTTACTGAGTGCTGTCATCCGTTGAAGTGTATTGGAGATGAATCTTAGCATTTAAAACACTTTTAAAATATTTATTTTATTTCCTGAGCTCTTTTGTTTCCATTCTTCAATGAGGATAACATGAGCTTGAACATGACAGTTGGATTGTTGGATGATGGTCTGTGAAGAGCTTCAAAAAGGTTATTTGTTTGGGTAAGATTTTCAGAGGACTTTCAGAGTGATTTTTAATGTCTCTCTCCATGCACATGTGTGCTCTCTCTCTCTCTTTCAAGACTTGGCTTTCATACAACATATTTTAAGTGTCAGATTTTTTTTTATTTTTTTTTTTTTGCATCTCCTGAATCTGTAGTTGAATGGAGAAACATATCATATTGAAACTGCAGTCAAACTGTGTCTTAACAGGTTTGAAATCAAAGCCTTGGATTTTTGCTGTCTGATTAAGAGCAGGTTAAGAAACACTTTCCTTATTGTGTGTATGCTGGCTTGCAGATCTCTTTCGGGGAAAACGTGATAGACTCAAGTGCTTGAACTCTGGCAAAAATTCCATCTCTGTGCATTCAACAAGGAATAGTTTGTTTTTCGCTGCTGATGTGGAGCACCTTAAACTATGAAGCAACTGACTGTGAGGCAATACGCCATTGTAGCAGCATTTTCCATGAAGGGTGCGTGCAAGTGAAGATGGAAATGCATGGGTGCTGAAATGAGAATGTGAGAGCCAGTTGCAAAAATAATGCTCTTCAGAGTGTGTCTGTTGCCACACACTTGCTTCTGGTGGCATCCGATGTCCGGGCTTCTCTTGTGGGAGTCAGTGACTCCTTGCACTTAGGGATTGCTGTTGGATGCTCATTGAGCTACTCCTTTTGGAAAAAAACACATGTGATTATTGGAGAAGTTTGATGGTCCACCAAGAAATCTGAGTGCTGTGAGAGGCTGTAACAAAATGTGCAGCATGTGTTAAATGTGTGCTTTGAAAGCTTTCCATGAAGAACAGCATCTGTGTTTTCATAATGGTTAGGCTGTTACATCAGGCAGACATAGATGCAGAATTGTTATAGGGTAAGTTGTCAAGAGCTTATTATTAACTGGAAGTGTCTATCAAAATGTTGTCAATACTGTTCTTAGTTTCCAGTCATTGCAATAATGGAATACCCTATGTGATTCTGACTATAGATATTTTCAAACTGAAATTAAACCAGAAGTGATAAACTACTGTGTGTGTGTATATATATGTATATATAGAATTATTATTTTTTTAAGTTTGAAGTACCTATTGATAACTCTGGAATTTAAGTCATTGACAAATTAAAGCTGAGTACTGAATTTGGAGATAAGATGGGTTTGTGATAGATTACAAATAAGAATTATGGGTAGTCAGGGGCAAGGATGACCAGTGGTTCATAGAGTTGAATTTCAGCATAATGGCCACATGTCAGGGAGGCTTTAAAGCATACCTTTGCGTGTGCTAAAGGTTTGGAATAAGGTTCTCTTCTATATATCTCACACCAGTACCTTGAAAGTCAAGTATTGGATATAATATCTGGCTTTTGGGGATCCATCTATGGATTTACAGGTTGCAGAACACTGGGCTTTTTCCTTCCCCATCCCTCTACAGGGACATCAGCTTTTTACTTATTCCATATGTTTTTCTGCTTTCCTGAATACATGCCAGGGCTAACTCTATCCTTAATGCTTGCTCTGTGGTACTAGGAATTGGAAATTAGTCTGCCTGCTCCTAATCAATAATCTGTGAAACTGGAAGAGATGACCTTTATGTTACTGGCTTAACTGGTTTTCTAAGCTAAATCTTGGGAGAGGAAAACCAGAAACATCAGCCACTCTTTCTTCATACTTCTTACCTAGGCAAGGGTGGGGGAAAGGGAACACAAACAGTTTTACTTCTGACTGGAAGATCCAAAACTCTTATCCTTTATGCTTGCTCAGTGTAAGTATTACTACTGTTATTAAATGAAAAAAAGCATGTCAAGAACATCTCTGTATGAAAATTGTTTTCAATTGGAAATGGCAGATACTAGGAAGTGCAGCTTTGCACTGAGGGAATTCAGTGATCGCTGTTCCAAAGTAGCAGGCTACTCTGCCAGTGTCCTGTTTTAGATAAGTCTTCCATGTGCAGGGGTAGGAGAAGCTAAGCTCACACCCTCAGAGTAGCTGAGTCCGGGCTTTTGATGTGGCAGATTGACACCTTGGTGGCTTGGCTTTACTTGATCACAGCTGGGCAGGGGAGCTGTGGCAAGAAGGAAATTGAAAATGGTTCCTTTTTTGTTCCAGATGGAGACCCTAAACCCTCAGTTCTTCCTCTTTTGTTTCCATAAAAGAGATTTCTTCCTTTTGTCTCAGCTACTAATAGAGGAGGAGAGGTTTAGAGATCTTTTATTGTCTTTCAAAGAATTACAGTGTACCATAGTAAGACGGTAATGACTCTTGTGTGAGGCTATATATCAGTAAGCAAAGCTACAATTGGTATTTTCAATTTGGTACCCTGTGCAACAATTGCAAATTAAATATTCCAGAGGAGTCCTTGTGCTCCAGTGGGAAGGGGCAGCTGTTAAAAATCTGCAGGAGTGAGCACAGGAAAAAGACTCTGTCCAACCAGAGTGGCAGGAGGAGTTTAGGTGGGCAGGGAGTCAGTCCTAAACCTAGAACTGCTCCAGGAAGCTTTAAAATCTAGACTGCAGGCAGCTCTTGTTGGTCGGAATAGTATGTTGCTGCTCTGCACTTCAGACAGAAGTGAGAAGGTTTGCCCTTTCCCTCCTTTGCACTACTGATGTTCAAGCAGACCCATTAAAGAGCAATTTGATTTAAAGCTGGAGTTTTATATTTTTTTTTTGTTTTTTTTTTTTGTTTTTTTTTAATTATTTAATCTCTAGAGAAAGGTTGCCATCCTGAAACTGGAACTGGGGCCTCTACAAGCAGGTACATAGTTCCATGTTAACTACTTTTTTTCAGTTTCTTAATGTGCTTTTCCTGTGTTTTTTTTTAAGAACAATATTTTTGTGAAAATATCTGTCACTACTTCACTGACCTGCCTTCCCCTGCAAATTTTTCAGGGAGATGATATAAAACATGTTCTTTTGTAGTAAATAATGAGAAATGTTTGTGTTCCTCTAAACAACTGTGGGCAGGAAAACAATCAGGTGGAGAGGAACTTTTGTTGTTATCTGGAATTTAGTGGGTTTGGTCTAATCAAATTACAGCCAGTGGAAAATTCTTCCGAGTGTCTTTGTGAAGGGTTTTGCCCTGAAATCTCTTAGCAGAGCTGTAAAGTGTATAACTGAGAGGTTGTGCTGGTTTTAAATTTGCCTGTAAGTTGTATATACAAGTGGATCTAGGGTTTGCCTGGTACATGCTAAGCTGCACCTGTGTTCTGAAACCACTTTTGCTTCTTGTATGTTTTCCCACAATAAATTCACAGTCACAGAATAGCTGAGGTTGGAAGGGACCACAGGAGGTTATTGGGCCCACACTCCCTGCTCAAGCATGCCCTCCTGGAGCTGCTTGCCTAGCAATTGCATATTTAGTTTCAGGGAAAAGAGGAAGAATATGCTTCTCTACAAACAGAAAATACATGAGGGCTTTTCTTACCCTCCCACTTTCCACCAGGTGAGCAGGCTTGGATGCAGGGGCAAGTCACTAGCCATGTCCTAATGTCAGTTTGCAGGTATAGCACAATAGAAATCAAGAATAGTGCTCTTGTCCAGGTAAGTATTAACTGCATTTCTTCAATTTGAAAACCAAATAAGAAATGTAGCAGCTAACTAAGATGGAGTCATTCCATTTAAGACTGTGATGGAACTGAGAGCCAGAATGAAGGACGACTCTTCTTTTTTTTTTTCCGCTTTACATGAAAAATGTTTACATGAAAAAGTTTTGCCTCTTTACATGAAAAATATATCTGGCTTTGTGAGTTAAAGACTGATCAAGGTAAATGAGCAAATGTATGAAAGAGTAAGCAATGTCTTGCTTAATCTTGCATTGTCTTTTATGCTTAACTTATACCTACATTTAAAATATTTCTGTGAAAATTTAAATGTGCAGTCATCATTTGGTACTTCTCTAAAATGGATTTCTAGAGTGAGTCATTGTGGTGGGTTGACCTTGGCCAACTGCCCATCCAAACTGCTCTTGCTTCCTCTCCTCAACAAAAAGGAGGGAAAATATGATGAAAAAAGTCATTGGCTGAGATAAAGATGGGGAGCTCACTCATCAGTTACTGTCAAAGGCAACACAGGCTTTAACTGCAGAAAATTAATGTATTGCCAATTAAAATAGAGTTGGATGATGAGAAGCAAGTACAACTCGTAATACCTTCTCTCAGTCCCTAACCTTTTTTCTTAGGCTCAAATTCATTCCTTCTGTCCCAAGTCTTCTACCTCCTCCCTACATCTTTATGTATTTTTTTTTTTTCCTCTTCTCTTTTTAGGAGAGGCAAGAAGCACAGTATAATTCTGAGGACCCAGCTGTCGGTGAGAGTTCATGCCTGCATTGGTAAGTGAAGTTCCACATGCCTGAAAGAGAGCAAATAAACAGAATCAATCTCTGGGAAGTAAATCTGAGGAGTATGAATCAGACTTGCTGTGTTCCAAGTTGAGGATAACGGCCAATAAATTGATTTATTTGTTCTGTTTGTTGCGTGTTAAAATTACGTGGTATTAGTTACATTACCCTTCATAAAGTATGTTAAACAGCCGAGGGAAGCATAGCATTTGACAGTGGGGTGAGATGGCTGGATGTGCTTTGGAGAATCTTGGATTATCTGTCTTGTCAGAGCCTTTGTGTGTGCCTAAAGACTGTTCTGAATTGGGAAGCGGCTCTGAAAAATTGTTGGCTGACAGCTAACTTGTGCATGTAACGTTCATTGCTTCACATCTTGCAGATCTTGGCCACATATTTGTCATTATCACAGTGTCAGTGTCTTAAAACCCCTGCTTAAAACAATGCTGTCACGAGGAGAAGTCTAATGAAAGTCATAATGTGCATGTCACAAGAGCTTTAAGGTTGCGTAAACGGAGGCTGATGTGCTGTGATGATGTTAATATGTTTTCCAGCATTCTGCAGAGCAGAACGTTTCGCTGACTGTTAGTGGCAAAGGTAATGCTCAAGTTCTGGTAATATTATGATAGATGTTATGAGTGGCTGGTTTAAAAAAATTAGAAGAAAATCCTATATGTACGTGCCACACTTGCCGGTTTTGTTTTCAACTTCTCCGTAATAGATTTCACACCCTAATACGTTTAGCTTGTTGCTGCTTCAAGAGATCGTAGCTGAAGCATTGAAATATAGATATTTTCCTTAAAAGGAGGGGGAGAAAGTCAGAGTTTTGTATTATTTCTACAGTGCTACTGCTGTTGGAAGATTCAGGCTTTAAATACAACTAAACTTCTATCCTCTGCCCCCAGGACATGTTATGAAATGGCCTTTCTTGGGAATCTGAACTGAGCATAAGCAACCTACAGAATTCCTCAAATACCTCCCATTGAGAGCGATCTCTAGGCTGCCTCGTGCAGGAATAGATTCTCCTCTACTACCATTAACTTGAGGAAGAACAGTAGAACAAGCCTTTGTGTTAAGTATTAGAGTAGAAACAGAGATACTTCGAAGTCTAATGAAATTGAAAGCACTTTGAAGAAGCTTGTTCTTGTTAGGTCTGGGAATATACTTGGCAAAATAGGCCAGTGGAGCAAGGCAAGTTTTTATATTTCCTGGACTGAGGTTTTATAAAAACAATTCTCATGTAAATATATTTTTCCAGAGTGCAGCCATCGAGGAATTGGAACACACCAGGTTCTGAGCTTTCATGTGTGCTTGCTTTGTTGTTACCTGTTTGCATTCAAGCTCACTGTGGGCAATTAGGCATATTGCTGTGCATGTATTTTAATTGTTCCTGTTTGGAAGTGTCATCCTTTGTCAGGTGCTGTTATACTCTGGCAGCAGTGATGCATTCAGCAGTGAGTATAGAGGAAGCCAGGCTGCAAGTCCAGATTTCGAACTCCTCAAGCAGAGGTGTGTTTGGATATGGGCTTTTGGCTTTGTTAGTTGTAGGCAGAAAAGCCAAATGCAAAATCTGGTTCTGATTTCCAACCCCCCTGCTGACATTTAGTTTTTTAGGGTAAGCTTTTGTTTCAGCCCATAGCTTGATATAATGTAGTTTCTTCTCTCTTCTTTTTCATTTTTACATATCAAATACACATTTGGTATGGGGTAGTTTGAAAGGGTCAGGAGCACTCTGTGGCTGTCAATACTGGCCTTGCTTGATGACCTGTGCCTGACAGTTTAACTTGTCATGGGGTAAGAGGGCTGTTACCCACTGGCACGGTGGGTACTTTTCTTCCTTTTGTGTGTACTTTCACATTGGCTGCCTGTTAACGTCTTTTTGGCAATAAAAGCATTAGGTTTAGAGGTTAAAATATGTGCTGCGCGTTTGGAATAGAAGTCAGGAGTTAGAGCAATCTTGAGAGCGTGTCACATCGAATGAAACCATGTTGCTTTGACTGTTTTTTCTCAGTCTCCACAATATCCATGGAGAGCACTGTGATTAGCAATATTACTGAATTTGCAAAGTCCACAGTAGGTAGCTTAGGACTGCTTTCTGAGAAGATGTGGTTTGTTCTGAAGTACCCTTGCCACAGAGCTTTCTGTCATCCTTTCATTCAAGGTTCTACTTTGCTCTGAACAGCTGAAAGGCATCAAGAAATAGCTTTCCTGTCATAAAATAGACTCTCCCGTTTGGAAGGTGGACCAATTTATTTATATATTTTTATTTCTTCCTCACGTTGTACTTTTAAATTGTGGAAAATACACAAGTGTTTATGTTCAGATGTCCAGATAAAGTTTTCCATCTTTACTGACTTCAGATCTCTGGGGAACCCATTGGGCTTTAGTGTCAGAGAATGACTACAGGCCAATATTTTGAGACTTGGGAAGCTCTAACAAGTCCCATGCCAAGTGGGATGGTGTGGTTTTTTTTGTGTTTTGTTTTAAGCAAGGCAAGGAAGGAATACAGCTTAATAACTTGAGTGTGGAAGTTAGAGCATTGTTTTCTGCCCTATTGATGCTAGTCACTCTTAAGCATCTCAGTTTAATGCATTACTACTTTCTTTTTTTCCCCCTCTCAGTCTGAGTTCTTGTCTTATGTTCACATTAAGGACTTTCAGCACGGATGAACAAATTTTCTCCTAAATATCATCTCCTAAAAATATGTGTATATGTCTATTTATATATATATAAATATCTCCTAAATACTTTCCCCATTTTGGCTTGATCCTGATTAAATTGTCAGGATTAATTAAGAGGTCATTTAAAAAAATAAAATGTGTTTTGACTGCAAACTGCAATATCTGCAGTTTTTTAATAGCAAAAGACTATTGCTGATACCAGTTTTGTTCAGAGACATAACTAATTGTAAATTACTGATGTACTTTTGAACTTATTGATGTTAAAAGGCCTTAGTGGGGCAAGATCAATCCTTAAATCACATACACTGACACTAAATTGTTGTGTTGGTTTTTTTTATAATCTCAAGCTGTGAAATTTGACCTTTTATTCAGATTAGATTTATTGTGAGTTGACACCTTGTGGGAAAAGTCTGGTATTTTTGGCAACCTTATGACTTTCCTTGTTTGTATTTAGTTAGGTCTTAACATAATTTTAATTTGAATGCATTGAACAATTATGGGGCATAGCTAAAGCCGTGATAAGGGCCTGTGCAAATGAGCATGTAGCTTTACAGGGTGAACACTAACAGTGCCAGAAATTTTAGCCCTGAAACTAAATGGAAGGTTTCAGAGCAACTTGGTTATAGTGAAGTTTTAAAGCTTTTTAAAAGCTCCACTCTTCCCGGACAGTGACTTGGTTTATTCATGATGCCCTTGCTTGGACAGCTATGTCTGTGACTGCTGCCTCATTTGTCCCTTTGTTGCTTCTTGGTAGTTCTCCCTCCAAATCTGATGTGGTCTCAGAGAGAAATGGCACCATTCACTCTTACAGATCTGGATGCACTACCTAGCCCAACAGAGTTCCATGTTCTCTTTTAAACCACATGTCCTGCGTGATGGGGAATTGGGAGTGTTGCTTTCAATAGTGAGGATGAGTTTTGGACAGGGACCCATGACAGTGACTTAAAATGAATCTGCCAAAATAAGTTCAACATTAACTTCATGTGTTAATACAATGTAATACAAGAAGAATGCAAATAACAAAGGTTGATGTAATTCTGAATGCATGTATTGGCCTGGGATTGCTCAGAGTACTGTAGCTTGGAAGGTCAGCAAATGTTGCAAGGTGTATTTTGAATTTTACTTCTCCATTGTGCCAGTTTATTATTCAAAAATCAAACAAACCCAAAACAAACCACTCAATTGATTATTTAAAATGTTTTCCATTAGAAAATTACATTTTTGTATGGTTATAGCTCCCTCCTGTATTTATGCAATGTCTTTCTTTTATCTGTCTATATATTAAAAATAATTTGCATAGATATTTGTGTGTATTACATTTCATAGCTTGATCCAGTGAGAACCCTAAAGAGTGTGCAAGTGTATTATTCCAAGTGTTGCTGAACATAGAACATAGCTTCATTATTAGTCTTTATAACTCCTTTACAATCTTGTTCCACTGGCATTTTCACATGGGCAGTTGTAGATCTACCAGAGCACTGTGCTTAAGTGATCGACAGTGTGCCCACCCTTTCCCATCCTTCTGTGGGTGATCTGCAGTGGATTATTCCCAAGTATGTGACACAATAGCTGCCATGCTGCACGCTGGCTTTTTCTAGCCCCTGTTGTTAAGGCATCTGCTTTAACCCACAGTGTTAGTAGCAATAGCCCAGCCTTTCCACATAGCTTTTTGGATTGTCTTTTTTGACATCCTCTCATTCTTAAGATATCTTCTGTGAAACGTAGCCATAAATACTTTTCTGAGCCCCTTTTGTTGTGGGGTACCTGAGTGAAGCTGTAAGCTAGTTGTAACTAGGAGGCTAGTTAGAAGCCAGCTGTTTTGATTTGTTCTGTAATGAAGGAAGTATGCAGCTAGTTCTCTTTTCCATCTAGTTTTCCCTTCTGTTATCCATTATGGAGACTTGTTGCATGTATTACAGCAGATATGATTAAGTTCTCCAAATATTTATGCATCTATTGAACATGCTGGAAGGACCTGTCCTTCCAGGTGCTTGAGATGCAAGATCCTTCCGACATTGCTTTCACGAAGACAAAGTTGTGTCTTGAGTCTGTAACTGTATCTGGCATTTTGTTGCAGAGAAGTTAAGACCCATGGACTGAACTGGGGAAAAAATGTGGTTTGTCCTCTTACGAGAATAGTATTAAGTGTAGAAAAGCCAGTGCAATTCTTGTTAAGGAAATGTGAGTGTTGTGTTGCATTCTCTGAGGTCAGAGTGAAGCTTGTGCCTACAGTCCGTGTTATTGCATCACTTGAGATGCTTCTCCCTGCAAATATCATTATTGTATTGCATCTGTCTGGCATATATATCTGTT